CCTCTTTGTAGATGGGTATTTTCAAACTGAATTATGTTAAAGACAAATGGCTAGCACAATTGAAAGGAATACTTTATTAGCATCATTTGATGAAAATTAATCTCATAGACGATTGCACATATTATAAGTATCTATCATATTACAAATTTATCGTTGATTAATTTTTTCAAAATAATCTATTGGTATTGCTGACGAAAATATTTCGCATTTACTTAATAGTTCACTTGATGATCTTGTTCGTGTTATTGATAAGTTATTTAGTTATGGTCAATCGTTAATTCATTTGCCGCAATAATTAATCTTTAAGACTCCATTCCCTCAAAAAAAAATGTGAAATTTCGTTATGTTACTTGAAACTTGAGATATTATCTGTAAATAAGTTTGTTTCAACCAGATAAAAATTTAGTAATGAGAAAATAGTTTATTAGAAAAAGATGTTTTATCATATATACAGTAACACTCAAAATTATAGGTTCACCCTTCTGTAAGAATTCGTTTGATCAAGATTAATATTTAACTTGAATATGAAAAACAGTTTCATCAAAAATCGTTTGCTATTATTAGACTATCGACTTCAAGTCGGCATTAAAAAGCCAAATTCATCCAATAACAGCTAAGGTCAATATAGAAACAAAGCATTTTCTTGACAAAATACACTCAATACAGTCGTCGAATATTTTAATAAAGCGAACACGACGATTATTGTTTCCATTTGTCTATATATATGCTGCTGTCAAAAAGAAAAATAGCAACGACATTATCAGAGAAAAAATATGTCAGATTATCTAACAACTTTACCTGTAGAATTAGTTTATAAAATTCTCGAGAATGTTCCATTAGTTGATATTCTCTTATTTGTATGTTTGGTCAACAAACGTCTTCGTTCGATTTCTCTAACTTCTCCTCGCTCTCAATTGGACTTTAGTTGTATGAATAAATCTATGAAAAAAAGCCAATTTGACTCGATCTGTACTCAAATATTATATTCGACATCTCAAATTGAATCTTTGATACTTTTCGACAAAAACGATCTGACGGCATCAATGATAAATAATCTTTTCTTCTCTCGATTCAACATCATTAATAAAACATTTTCAAATCTTCGTTCGTTGACATTGACATATATAGAATATGATACATGGTGCTTATTCAAAAGTCAACTTCCACCATTCATTACGATGTTATCTATTTATTTATCCTTTTCTAATATTTCTGAAAATAAACCGACTCCATCTATTGTTTTGAGCGAACTACTTTTCCTTTCGTCATTACTTCAACGTCTCTCTGTCAAAATGATTCATCACATTAATGAGAATGATTTACAAATTCGTCCTCCAAATTCATCGATATTATCTTCTGTTCAATATTTGTGTATAGAATCGATAGAAATCGATCTATTGAATCTTATTACAGTTACACCAATGCTTCATACTCTTGAATGCAAAATTCAAAATCGAAGTGGGATATTACATAATATTTATCCTCGTCCAATGTATTTACAACAACTGAGAATCGATCTGCACTCATACACTTAGATACAGATAGCAGCTTTACTCTGGTCGTATCCACAACTTGTTTATTTAGTTATAATTGCTGATGATGTCAATAATGATATGGCTGATGGTTTTGCTTGGGAACTATTATTGAAAAAGATAAAACATTTCGAATTTAAATTTGAATTCTCGGAGTATGCCTCCAGAGAACAACCACTCGGTCTCGATTCATTTCGTACAAAATTTTGGCTTGAAGAGAAAAAATGGTTTGTTACATATGATCGATGTTCGAATCCTAATGATTATTCAGTACTCTATTCAAATTGTTCTTCGATTATTGTTAATCCACCACATGAAATATTTGGAACTCTAATATCAGAAACAACTGCATCAGTACCATTATCATTTTTCCATGTTCATCGATTAGCAATTAATGATGAGTATCTGAAATATCCGTTTCTATACAGGTACAATAATATCAAAACGTTGTACTTATCAAATGTCACAACAACATATTCCACGACGCTCAATGATCTTCTAATCTGTCTTGATACATCACAAATTATGACATGTATCATTAGTTCTAAGTTCAGTACAAACTCATCTGCAAATTACATTGAATTTTTATTTAGTTTGCCTCGTTTGCGTCGGCTCAAAATCTCTCCTATTAATCTCATTTATCTCTGTTCTCATGAATGGCCTCATATTATTAATTTGAAGATTAAAAATGATTTCGATAGTCAACCTTACATCTTATCTTCAAATGATATCGATGCACTTTGTCGTTCATTTCCTCATATCGAACAACTCGACATTGATTCAACATATATAACTGATCTAGCACAACTTCTCAATAGAATGAAAATGACATTAACATATATAATGATTAGACAACAATACATTGTCAATGATGAACAATTGATAACACGTCAGTGGATCGAACAAAATACTGAATTGAGAAATTTTCACTACAAATGCACACGTGGTTTTTATACTTATGTTAGATTGTGGTTTTGATATCTGTCATCATACAGACATTTTACATACTGATTTATCTTTTTTTTTTATTGTATCTATCACATTCATTTTGTAAGAACATGCAGCTTAGTTTTTTTTTGATGTAATAAAGAACTATTTTGACATTGTCTAATTAATGCATTATCTATCTACTGTTCGACTACATGAAAATGATAATTTTCACAAAAGTTTTGTGTTTTGAAATTCTTTGACAATATTCGAACACAAATTGGATGTTGAGCAAATGTTTTTAATTCAAGTACTCAACTGTTCAAGCTATGAAATATTCTGTGTATTTGTGCGGCACCCACAGTCGAAGAGATACCCTGTGTGTGTTTTCGTTACATCCTTAGAACGAGAGGAATACTTTAAACTTGAATAATTGAATAATTGAATAACTGAATTTAGCTATCAAGTTTAACACGCATGGCAATTTCGCAATTCCATATCGACTTACTTTCCTTCATCCGTCAATAATAGATCATCTTTATTATAATAAATATTTTTAATTGAGAACATCTTTATCTCATATATGATTTGATTAAATGAGGAATAAATAATATTTTATTAAGTTCAATATTATTATTTATTGACAAAAATAGATTAAAATGAATTTTCAGTATAAAATACGATTAATCATATGAATACAATTTCAAATTTGATTAGTTTTTGTAAACTATAGTATTCTTGTGTTTTTCTCCATCAACTTATAATATGATTTGTCCTAATAAATAACATTGATTAATGAAATCTCTCCAAATATTTATATCTAATTATTTTTTCAAATCACATTTATCAATAATCAATCGAATCTATCAAATAGCGAACATAGATGCTATTAGACTAGTTGCTAAAATAAACAAAAATGTTTCATATTGTTGAAAACATTAATTTGTTGATAATTAAACAAATCGATTAACATCAAGAAGAAAATGTGCTACTCGTACACTTCGTCCCACACTTTTCATCCCAATTTCATTTTGTGTCTAGTGAACCATCACGATTAAAAAGATTAATGAAGAATCAATGAATATCTTTTTTCTGTTCTACATTTTAACGAAATTATTTTTCTTTTGGTCATTTGATCAGATGCATTAGTAGTTGTTGTCATCTCGAACAAATTCATACAATAGAAAGAAAAATGAATACAATTCAAGTGTTAAAGAGTTTTCGAGGAAATTCAATGATAGATTTTTCGGGATGCTTATATACTCAGCATCAAATAACAGAAGAAAAACGTTTATTTTGTTGTGAAGATCGGAACTGTAGAAGTAAGTATAAAACGTTAAATCTAATTTTGCAACTTTTCTTTATGCTATTTTCTGGTCGTGGTCAAACAAATAACCAAATGGAAGTATTAATTAAATAATCCTTTTGAACATTCTCACGTTCCTGATCCAGATCGACTTCACATCATTCGATTTAAAAATGAAATTAAAAATCGTCATGCATCATTAAATGACAGAGCTACTACAATATTATTTGATGCATTGCATACAATTCCATTAGACATAACTGGTAGTTTACCTACAGGGTGGAGTGTGGGTGGGGTCTTATTGTTGATATTGTTTATGATGATTTAACGAAAAACCCAATTGGTATTGTGCGTCATATTTATGACTATTTCGGTCTACGTTAGTCGAATGAATTCGAAATAGCAATGTATGCTTGGCTTCGCGATAATCCTCAAGGCAAGCAAGGTCGTAACACTTACAGTCTAAAACAGTTTTATTTGACGCGTGAAGACATTGAGACACGTTATATTGATTACATAAATTTATTTCTTCGTTCATCATCTTCGAATAATACGAACGAAAATTGATTTTTCAAACAGAGAAGAACTATGGAATTTTTTTATGGATTTATTGGATTTCTTCAAACTTCTAAATTCATTTTCTAATAGCATACTGTATATTCTTAAAATACCAAAAAAATATCATGATCTTGAAGAATCGGACCTCAACATCAATCTTTTCTTTACATTTGATTCTAAGATAAATCCTGAGATTAGTAAAATCCAGAAAAAACTCTTGAGAGGTACTATTATTCAGAGAGACAACAAATGAGAATGCATCTTGCAGATATCTTAATGATTAATGAGATGATGGTTATTACCTAGTCATCTTTTGTATATTTATCTTCTCTTTTCAACACAGACACTGAACACATTGGTCATTTCTTGGAATCAATTTGGAGTCGAAGGAGCACAATATCTCGCTGTTACACTACGATACCAAACGGTGATCATTATTCTCTCTTTCTCTCCATCATATCTATGTTCTTCTGTCTATGCAAACACTCATTACATTAGACTTTTCTTGGAATCCCATAGGGGACAAGATGGCCCAATATCTTGCTATTGCGTTGCAAACTAACCGAATAACTCTCATTTTTACTTTATCAGCTGTATATTCGTTTTTCCTTATTCATCATAGAAAAACTAAAAAAATCAACTACATACGGTGATCAAAAAGTTCTCGGAATTCATCGCATTTTGTTCAAAGAAACGACATTTCGTTCATTTGTCTACACCATATATTAGAGGCAGTTATCGTGATATTCCACAGAAAATTTCATCCTTTTAACTCATTCCTGTGGTACTATTTACTTCGAAACAATAGGTATAAAATTGATCCTCTTGGTTATTACCCCTGATCATTTGTTACAGGTGCTGATTATCTAGGCTATCTTGAATTTGTCAATAATACCAAGGATGTGAAAGTTCAGTCTATGCTGAGTACTCCTGATGAGTCCTAACTTGACTCTGCTCACTTAAAACCAGATACTAACGTCACCATATCTATTACTCAAAAAAACACAGAGAAAACTGATGGAGTGATAGACCATGGCCATCCTTCGCTGTTGGCTAGATTAACTAGTAATAAATTTAGGTCTTTATCACTAATATAGGTAGTATTACTAGTCACTATAGAAATGGTTACACTATAAGTAATAGCTCGTATGTGTTCAAAAGTTGGAATATCTTCTTGTTTCCGACACTGTTACGGATTAATGTCACTCAAAGGACGAGTTTCACCTCTGAATCCAAGTTCGGATAATAATTTCGATTCAATGTTTTGATGACAGACATGAGGCTGTTAGCCACTAATGGTACCACCTGAAATCTGGTTGCCATCTAAAAATTTATTCAATTTTTTTAAGACCCAAAAGGCCGGTGAAATTCGTCAATAGCCGGTCAGTTCAAATTGTTTCCTTCGAACGGAACCATAAAAGCGAGTTAAAAGGATGAAACCTCCCGAGGAATATTAAGACGGCTACCTCTAATATATAATGTGGAGAAATGGACGAAATGTCATTTCTTTGAATAAATAAAAAGAGGTCCGAGAACTTTTTGATCACTCCATGTAAAACCTATTTACAAATGATTTTACAGTTCGAGAAGACATTTTTCGAAGATTGCAGATTAGTCGCATAAAACTTCGAGTTTCTTCAGAAGTACTTGATGACCTGGTGTTATTTGAAGGAATTGGAAGTTGTTCTTAACCTTGTGGGATAGAGCATGTAAAAAAGGAGGACAATCAAGCGGATGGATTTTTCTAGCTTGTAATTTAGATATGTTATAGGCATATTTTGGTTTGATGGATCTGATTCTTTGGTCATAGTATTTTACGTGTCGGAAAAATTCTTTTCATAGAATATAGAATGATGTTTTTCTTTGTCTTTGAACCATCTATATGTTATATAAGTGATGTTTTTTTTTCCGGTGTCTGACATTATCAGTGGTCACGTGTGTAATGATATATGAATTTCATACTCATAGATATTCATTGCGTTCATATTGGTCGCCATTTGTACACTGTTTATTGGTCGAATCTCGTCGTTCGTTATAGTATGAATTAGTTTTGTAGATAGAATGAATTCTTGTGATATCTATAGAGTTATATTAATTAGCTAATGAACGTTAATATGAATAGTATCAGTTGCAATATGATTTTCTATCGGTTAGAGATTGATTTTTAGATTATCCTTGAGACATGGAATTGCATTTGTCAAAAGTGGATTTCAATCGTCATAAAACAGTCAACTATTCGAATAAAGATTTACATATCCTTGTCTAATATTATTTGAAACAATGGAATTTTGCTTGAAGTAAAATATCTCTCGAATCTCAACAATCAACATTAAATTTTATTGAATAAATTCTTTCTTTTCAAATTAATTCACACGAGTTCAATTGATTTCAATCTTCGAAATAACTGAATTTTTTTCTGTACTTAACCATTGTCTTCAATAACAAGACGAACGATGTCAATATGAGAAATTCGTCCGAGTGACCTTTTTTATCTTTTTCGATAAATTGATTGAGAATGAAATTGCATCGAAATAGAAAAGAATCTGTGAGATGAAGATTTCTTTTTTCTTATTGCAAGATCAAGAATCAGTACGATCTTATTTGAATGAATTCTTCTTTAATTTGATCTAGATAATCGTTCGATAATAAATAAATACAGAATGGTTCAAAAGTGACAATACCGAATATCTTCGCTAGATATTGTCTAAATAGATTAGTTTTTTGATCATTGATAAACAAGTGCTTATAAGTCACACGCATAAGAGAAAGATTCTTTTGAAGTATCATCCTTGACTGTAATAAAGAACTATAACGTTGTTGAGTTATAAGAAAGCTATGTAATCTTTTCCTTGTTAAAAAATAAATTATGCCGAATTTGTTTTCTATTAATTCTCTACAGTATTGTTGCTTGGTCGGAGATTACTATTATAGATACATGTCTCTTTACTCATTTTATCCTAAAATTTTTAGCCATTAAAACAATGAGAATTTGTTGAGAAAAATTCAATATGACTTTCTATAACTTATCAAAGTTTAGTTGTTTATTGCAGTCAAGTACGATAGTTGAAAAGAATCTTTCTCTTGTTCATATCACCTATGAATACTCTTTTATCAATGGTCAAAAAAACCAACCTTTTTAGTCAGCATGTAGTGAAGATATTCGAGTTTTGTTCTTCAGTATTATTGCTTTTGGCTCATTCTATATTTATTCGAAAGATCAAGGTTGAATTCGATTGTTGAAAAGTCTCATTTAATATTGGAAGAAATCTTGTCTGATAAAAGAATTCTCTAGATGAATTTGTCATGGAAGAGTCATTTTGTTGAATTAGTTGATCTTACACTGGAGATGTTTGTATTGTCAATTAATAAGATTAGACATATTCGGATCGAATTAAAGATCTCATTGCCAAATTAATAAACTCAAAATACGAGCTACTGTTGGAGTGCATGGACGATGATATTCGAATTTTAAGATATTTATAGTTTATGTAAGATGCTCACAATTCAAACTTTTAACCAATTTACCTTCAGACCAAATTGTTTTCTGAAAAAACACCGTCTGATGAGATTGATTAAGCGTCTATTCAACTTTATTCGAAATTCAATATCTCGATAAAGAAATATCCTTTTTGGTTAAAACTTTCAGACTATCCTATGAATCATTAGGCCTATCTATAGGCAAATTTTCAGGCCAAAATTTCGTAACTTGCTTGTCCAGTAAATACCAACGGAAGAGTCGAAAACGTCTAAACATTACAGGGTCTATAGAGTAGATACTGAGCTACAATACGACAAAATTGAAGTTGAACATACACCTAATCAAACAAATCATACGATGATTTTCTAGAAAATTCTTTGAAAACTTTTCAAATATTTCGATTCTCAGGTAGACTTGTACCTCTCTTTCATCTTCTTTCTAACGGTGAAAACCCAAGTTCAATAGCCGTCCGTATTGTTGAGTCATTCAACAAACAATTAAATCCATTTTATTTTGAAATGGAAAAAAGTTTATAACACATTTTCAGATAAGATGCAACGAACTTTATTGTAGCAGTGAATCTAGGATTTTGAACTAGAGTAGACTAAGCGTCCCTCCTCTATGGGTCTTTAAGCCTGCTTAACTAATAAAATACACATTAAAAGTTTCACTACAGGGGAGAGATGAGCTCCTCCTTGCTTCTTGGCTCCGCCATTGCTTTGTTCCTGTTCGACAAGTCAAGTTTGATATAATATCTTTAAGGTTAAGTAAAAGAAATTCTACATTTATATTAAACAATTTATTCAAACAACATGACACAAAGAAAAAGAGAAAAGTAATATTACAATTTTTGTGTATATAAAGAAAAAAAACATAGACACACTAAAGCCATATATAAACTTTTTCATCATTTTGAAAATATTCAAAGTGACGTAATTCTGTATTTTGTTCAAGCCATTGACGTGTTACCATTTGACGATTTAAATTATTTCTATAACCATAATGACAAATGCATATATTCGATAACGTCATTGTCATTGTATTGAATAATTTTGATAGATTTCGAACACTTCGACAATCAAAACTTAACTGTTCTAACTGAGTAAACGAAAACCAAAGGGCATCAATTTGCTTTGATGATAATGATTCAATTTGATCATCTGGATCAAAGTTCATGTTAAGATTAATAATTCGTGGCCAATGTCGATCAAAAAGTGAGATGAGAGTTGAAAAATATAAACCAAGTGAACGTAAATGTGGAAGATTATAAAGAATTTCTACAAATTTATTATTTAACACTTTTGTTTCCAATCCCCTTTGTATGAAATTAGTGATTCGTGATAAATCGATAAAACTGGTGATATATTCAAGTGAATTGTTAAAATTATTTTCGATGATTAATGTATCAGCATAAGTCATTCGACGTAAATATATTTCTGGCATTGATAATTCAGTATTAAAAAAGAGATTTTTTGCATATGGATATGTTGTTGGTTCTAATCCAGTTGATTCTATTAATGTTTTCTTCCCATATACATATGGACACTAATAGTCTTTAAAATATGGATTTGTATAGAGAAATGAAAGATACATATCGGTCCCTTGATCATATGTTACATACCACTTTTTTTCTTCAAGCCAAAATTGAGTACGAAATGAATCAAGATCGATATTAATATCGTTTGAAATTTTAAATATGAATTGAAATATAACTATTCGAGTCATTAGTGGTATCCATGCATTGCCATTAATCATATTATTATCTACAACATAGACATCAAGACTAAGATGAGTAAGACAGATCATTGATGAGAGTAAATGTTTTATTTTGAACATAGTCATAGAACCGCTAGTAATGGATAGTTTTTGTAAATAAATAGATGATTGAAAAATCATGTTCATATCATTAAATTGAGTTTTAATTAATTCCGTATCGAGTTGACGTAACATTGGTGCAATCGAAAAAATTTCACGTAGATTAATTGCAATACCTTTTACTGTTAGACTCTCAATAGTCAATGTTTGTATTAAAGAAGATGATGAAATGGTTATTATTTCATTTCCACAGCATAATGCGTGAAGATATAGATGTTTCAATGATTTAACAGTAAATAGAATATCATGAAAAATAAGTGACACTAATATTGGTGTCGATTTTTTTAAATCACAGATAGAATTCATAGTTATTGATTTTAATGATATAAATAATGATAATCGAGTTCGAATCAAATTCCACATCTTTGAATCGATATTATTCAATGTAACTGAATATAAATTTGAAAAAATATTATTCATAGTAATCGAAGAAAAAAAACGATTGAATTTTGCATTTGTTATTCGATTATCATCATCTTCAAAGTCTAATGAAAAGATGCGTGATGCCAGATTAGGTAATTGATTACAAATAAATTCAAATTGTTTTTTCTTTTTAGCTATACAATTAAAATCAAGTCGAAAATGAGAATAGATGAGACAAATAGAATAAAGACGTTTATTGACGAAATATATTGATGAAAGAATATCAAAGATGGAAAGATAATCGAAAATATATTCGATTAATTTAGTAGGCAAAATACTTAGATAATCTGACATTTTGTGTGTGTGTATATATGTTCATTCGATATATTGTTTCTATTTATATATATGCAAAACAAACAATAGTCGTCAAACTCGCTGGTTCAACCAATAAGATATGTTGTATAGAATTCCAATAGTTATTTTTCTAGGAGTGATATATTTCAGACGAATTAAATTGTTGCTTTCTGCCTATGACATATATCGTCGAGGTCAAACAACAATTTATTTTACATTGCTACATTGACTGAAAACGAATAATCTATAGATTATATGGTTGCATAATATATTCAGATTTTGTTCATTGAAATAAATTTCATTTGATATTTGGTTTGAAAGAATTTGAAAAGAATTATTTTTACAGGATGCTCATGCACAATATTAAGCGAGAAAAGTTGCTTTTATTCGAAAACTGGTTTAGGTTAGACTTCTACATAATAAATTAGAAAGTCTCGTATTTTTTTTTTGAGTCATATGTTTGTCTGTTATGATTCCATTGGTTACATATAAGAACAGGGCCTATATATGGAGAAAAATAGAGGGTTCATTCATAATTCTTTTCTCAAAAGAAATCTATGTAGACTTCAGACACTTACATTTTATTGTTGTATCCATATAACATTAGATCGAATTTCATCCTTTTAGATATACCTTAGGAAAGGTTATTAGAATACGGTGATTAATCAGTTGATCCAAATCATTCATTGTTGATATGATATAGCATCTCAAAGTACATATTAGTGATCTGTTCCTAAATCAATCTATATTTGTCATGAATTGATAACAATAAAAAGATGCTGCTAATTGTTAAGATCTAATGATAAAATTTTTCTGTTGTCGTCCTTTACTTCGCAACAAAAATAAAAAACCTGTTCAAAAACTTTAAATCATCAGTTCATAATTTCATTAGTCTTTGTTTAACATAATGGATTCTGTTGGAACCGAACCTAATAATGTAAAATTTGGGTGCAAGTCAAGCCTTTCTCCATTTATACATTTCGCCGCCCCTGAATTATTGTGATCGATATTCATTAGTCGAATATCTCCATGCTAAACGATAAGAAGTCACTGTCTCCGAGAACGTTGAGTAGACTTCCAGCTCATGTTGGTCGACCTGTACTTCTTCATCACGAAAATAATTGTCGAGGGTGGGTGTGGGTGTCTAGAGTATCAAAAGATCATACCCACACCCATACCCACATCCCACACCCACCCACACCCTCATGCATAGAAGCTATGTAATCATATGCGTTGATGTTTCGTTATAGAAATTTTCAGTCGAAAAAAATTCCATTCAAGACTTATTTGGTAAATCGAATCAGTGGTCGAAGAAGCCACCTCAACAGTATTCACCCGTAGGGCTAGCACTTCATCTTTATTTTACTTCGAAAAAGTAAAGTAAAATAAAGTAAAGCGAATTTAAATACTTACAATTTAATATTGATTTTTAGTCTAACATCGCAGATTGACAATAGTGCATCACCATCATCAGTGTATGATGTTAGTCTGGAAAATCAGTATTAAATTGTAAGTATTTAAATTCGCTTTAATCTACTTTACTTTACTTTAGGATGTGTGTGTGGGATAGATGTGAGTTTAAGTGTGTGAGAAAAGAACAGCCATCGCTACAATGGCACTTCACATCCATACCCGAATGTTTTCCTTTGTTTCCAACCCCATTTAAGAATGTATGACGAATATAAATCGTGCATTGTTCGAAAGAGGAGAAAATTTCTTATCGACTAATCGAACAATACTACTTTGAGAAAGTGTGTATTGAAGAGATATCAGAATCCATATATTGTGCTGTAATTTATAGGAACAGTGTGGACTGATTTGAAAGGTACTTCTCGTTGTTTTTGCATTGTTTCATTTATGAACGTGCGATAAAAATAAGTTACACATGATTCCAAAGAGGAAAAATATTCTATCTTCTGGTAAAAACAATTTTCTTTCAGCACCATTCTATTAAAGAGACATACGAGTCGACATTTGTCCCATTGCTTTTGCATCAGATTTTATATCAAATGTTACAGCTCAAAGACTTCAAGAAACTTCGACAGACTTTCAGATTGAGGTCTCTCTTGTTTCCGTCTTGGTTAGTTACTGGTGATTAAACAACAGCAATATTTCATATATAAATTTGCATATCTGCTGCTACTGTTCAATGATCTCTGTGAATTTTTCAAAAATCAAACAATTCTATTGCACCAAAAGAGCGATTTATTGAATCATATAGTCATATGTACAACAAAAAATAAGGATATGGCGATTCTTACATCGAAAACATTTAATCAATAAAAAGGATGATTTAGCACAACAAGCAAATGACTCAAATTATATAGTCTAAGATGCTTGTGTCAAACACTAACATTGAATTCAATAAATATTTGCAACGAGTTTATGTTCTGATCTAGGTATATAGACAATCTAATCTTCAAAGAAACGAACTTCTTGACAGTTTATTTTCTATATGTGGTCTAACGTGAAAAACAATATGAAAAAATTCAAACAAAACTTCTTCTTAGTTTCTTAAAATATTATTCTTTTGTTATCAGAATAAAGGTATAGCAACCAATAATGGCCAGTGTTCATCATATGAGATATCTTGAACGAGAAAAAGAGAAGAATAATATCATTATTTTCAATGGCGACATCGGTCAAAGAAAACAAAACAAAATATATATATATGATATCGAGTTTAGGCCTATCGACGAAGTTGCAACATCGACAAAAAAGTTTGTCAAAGTTACTTCAATTGAGCGAAATATCAAATAACTATCAATTAATTAACGATATTAAAAATAAAAGATACACTTATAGTTATTTTTTCATTTTAAAAACATATAAGGGGTGACCCAGGAGTTCTGTCTCGATTTGAATAATAAATTATTTTTTAGTAAAATACGTAGTTGAAAATTTGTCTCTAGAGTGAAAAGATGCAGTAAAACACGCTCTACAAAATAGCTTTTAATTGACCTTGCTAACTCTTAGAGTAAAAAAGTTATACGGTTAGAAATATGCTTCACAAAAGAATAAAAATTAACCATGAAGTCTTCAGAGCTGAATAAGAAAATAGCGGACTCAGTAGGCTTGAGCACTCAGTTCACTGACAAAATCAACTTACAGTCATTATAAAATTAATTCTAGATTTCAAACACGTTTGCTCTACGCTGAAGAGTAGGATTTCGAAAACTGCAACGAATTCTAAACCCTTTTTAGATTACGTGTATTGGTACAAAATCCTTAAAAAAGTTTCCTAGATCCTTGATAAGTCTTTTGAAGAGTTTCGTAGTAATGCACGTAATCTAAAAAGGGTTCAGAATTGGTTGTAGTTTTCGAAACCCTATTTTTCGGCGTAGAGCAAACGTGTTTGAAATCTAGAATTAATTTTAAAGTGATTTTGCCAGTGAACTTAATGCTCAAGCCATATTCAGTCCTCTATTTTCTGTTTCAGCTCTGAAGACTTCACGGTTAATTTTTATTTTTTGTGAAATATATTTCTAACCGTATAACTTTTTTACTCTAAGAGTTAGCAGGGTCAAATAAAAGTCCTTTTGTAGCGCGTGTTTAACCCTTTGAGTTCGATAGTAGCAAAAATGCTACACATCTTTTGTGATTATTTTTCACAAACTAATTTATAAAAATTGGTACCTAATCTCTTGGAATGAAGCAATAAAGAATGCTCTAGAGTTCTCCCGAACTATCTGTAAACGAGATATATAGTTATTCATTGAGAAAGTTTTGGAATAATATAATATGAGAGTCGACGTCGATTGAATCCAGCAGAAATATTTTCGGACTCAAAGGGTTAACTGCATCTTTTCACCCTAGAGATAAATTTTCAACTACGTATTTTACTAAAGAAAAATTTATTATTCAAATCGAGACAGAACTTCTGGGCCATCCTTTATACATCATTGTTTTTCAAATAAAAATAGAAGAGATTACTCAGAAAAACCAAACATTACCTTTTGTCAATGTTGTATATGATTGTAAAGCTATTCTCAGGACACTAAGGTCTGTAACTAAAGAAAGAGATCTCTATGATACTATGCTTTGATTTAAATAGCATATGATCATATAATTAGAACGAACAGCTTTCATAATATATTTTATTCGAGAACATTTTGCATTTTTCGCTCTGAATCTCGATATTCATTTTGGCATAAAATGCAAGACTAAAAATGAAGATTAATGAAGTACCAAGCTAAAAGCAAAAAAATGAAGGCAAGATTCTAGCGAAAAAATACTTTCAGATGCAGGATGCCTATTCCGAATTGCAGTTTTCCTATAGTTCAGTCAAAATATGATATATACTGGAAAAGATAGATCTGAATGTTTGAATATATACAATAAATCTGAAAAAAATAAATTCTTGTAACATCTTGTTCATCACACTTCAACGCTACAAAATGCTCTTACTGCTTTTGTCTACTAGCATTCTTATGATGTTTGTCTGATATGTTCTTCTTTGAGATTAGCAGCATTGATATAAGTTATATCGGATTGAAACGTAGTATTCAACAATCCAGTTAGGTGAAGTCTTTTTTTTTTGACTCAGGTTAGCATTTTACTTGTCCTTATATGTAGTATATTTCTTATTAATATAAAGTTAATGTGCTATTTAAATCAGAGCATAGTATTCTAGAAATTTCTTTCAATAGTTATAGATCTTGATGTCATCAGAATAGATCTATAATTATATACAACATCAACCAAAAAGTAATGTATGATTTTTCTGAATAATTTCTTTTATGTTTATTCGTAAAAATGATGATTATTGTTTTCAAATGAAAAATTAACTATAAATATATATTTTATTTTTAATATCATCAATCAATTGATAATTATTTAATATTTAGTTAGATTGAAGTAACTTCGTCAAAAATGCTGAGGAAGTTACAATTTCGTCGATCGATGTAATTTTGATACGACATATAGATTGAGTTTTGTTAGATACACAAATATTGAACTCCAGCAAGGATATGGATGTGGATGATTTCAGAAGAAGACCTATACTCACACCCACACCTTATATATTACATTCTCCATTTCGGGAGGAATAGATTTCTGTTATTGTGTCATTTTTTATCATCGTTTATTCAGGTAGAATTGACCGTCATTGTTATTTTTTTTCTTAATCAATATTTATTTACATCAGAATCGGCAGCCGCGGTAATCTGTTCTTCTTCTATTCTTTGAACATTGAATCGATTGCTATTGTGATGCGGCACATCGACGATTATTTTCGCCTGTTGTTGTTCCATTAAAGTGATCGGACAGAAGAAGCATTCAGTCCAGTCTGTTCCACGATCTTTTATCCAACGTCCTATCCCGTATTGTGACCAGACGAGACGAGATTAGTCCTGTGTCTCATCATTGTGTCGGTTATATATTTTTCTTGTAAATTAATCTTTCTCAATAGGCAGAAAATTCATTTCTCCACCTATTATGAATGTATAAATATTGACAACGCAGTAGAACTGTTTCATTTAAAAAAAAATGTGTGACTATTTCGATTGGAATGATGATGATAAAAAACTAATGATTTCACTTCGTTATTGTTCACATGAAATATGTGTAGCACTTACTCAACCAACTTATTGGCAAGAAGTAAGTTTTGAATTAATCAAAGGATAATATTTATTATTCTATGAAAATATTATTCAGTTAACAAAAGGTACATCGATTTCAATATTAACAAAGGGGCACTTTGTTCCCAAGGAATTGGAAGGAATAATTGCTAATGATGATCCTTCTAGACTTCAACTTATTCTTCAGAGAGAACATGAAGAAGACAAAAAAAGATTAGAAGGTTTGTTTTTTTATATTTAATAATGCTATTAATTTTCAACGAACTTTTCTATTAAGAGATTTCTTGGATAATTTATCGTCGTTTTTTTGCTGATCCACGAGAGGATCCTGAACTAAATGGATATGATGTATGTATATACTAATTGTCATTAGTACATGAGTTTCTTCTATTTATATATTTAGCGTGATACCGACAAAATAATAGTATCCGCATCTCTGTATAATTCTCTTTCTATATTAAGATTTCATACAAATCAATATTTGTTAGGCGTAGGGGTTTGTACTAATTAGATTTATAATAATCGATCTTTGATGAAAAAATATTCTATTTTTATTTAGAATAATAAGATAATAGACATTGAAAATTTATTGGGAATTTCGATTACTATTGATCAATCTTTGCCAAACTTTTATCGTTTTTTAACTCCGTAAGTATAAATAGAGAAGATAATTCTTTTTTGTGTTCAATCACTTGTAACAAGTGATCGAAAAGTAAATTAATAAGATGTTCATTCTTTTTTTTTAATCTTTTAAAGAAGCTTGTAGAAATTCGAAAACATTGAGTTAGAATCGAAATTTTGTATTCTTTCCGAATATAGGTTCAACATTTATCTATTATGGGCCTCTGAAAGGTTTGCTCATAACTTCTAAACTCAAAAGTCCTACAAAAATGTAGAATCCATATTCACAAAAACCGCAAAATTTTGATTCCAAGCTAATCTTGTCAAATTGCTTTTGGATCAGCCGCGTTATCTAAGCACATTTTCTCTAACATAAGACAAGGTAGAATTTAAAATTTTTTTCATTTGTTTATTCTAGTAGTAACAAAGATACGACTATTACTAACCTTTTTACTGTTCTAATAAAAACACTTGTGAAACAAGCACAATATCAATATTTAATCGCATTTACTTTTCGTCACGCACCATCTATAGTAAGATCTGTCATTCGAATGAAAGAATTTAATGAACCTGTACAGTTACAATATGCGAAAAATTATAAACGAGTAAGTAAATAATATTTGATTTCTCTTCTAATAGTGCGAAATAAAATCTTCATAGAAACGAGCTGAGCAAGATGAAAAACAATCGATAACAAGCAATACAAGTAAGTTATATCAAGCTGTTAGAATATGAATTGTTTTTTTCGTATACTAGAAAAATCAAAAGCTGATTCAAATCAAAATGTCAAAGATGAAATAACTCCTGATGAAAAAATATGTTAAGTTGACCAGTCTGATTTACATTCTAATTAGATTTATCTCTTCAACATCTAATGATATGAAATATGTTTCTGCTTGTTCAAAGACATTTTGAAATCTCTTTTTTTCACGTCTAATTATGATAGTGTATGTGAGATGAATTTGTATACTAATTTCATAATTATGTGATTCTAATGATGAGTATACTGAAAAGTTTAACATTTTTGAAAAAAATATATGAAAATATTTCATCGTATTGTTTCTTTAGTCAGTTTGTAGACACTCGAAAGTCTACGTAGGATATGTCCATAAAGACGTTTGATACTCAATGAAATTGGTATACATAAGACAATTCCATTTTCGTAATAAACTTAATGAACACAAAAGCCGGACATCGATTCAATATGAAAATTTTCAAATGATTAGGAATGAAACAGGCAAGGAAGCACGTGTACACCAAGTTATCCACGAAAAAAATTATTGAATAAAACCGTCCTCAACCGCGGTGTCACTAAAGAGATTGCGGTTTTTCTCACCGCATTTAACGCAAATTGTGATTTCCTAGGACCAAACCATGGCACTACATATGGTGGTTAGTCATGGTTTTATAAACAGCGATGTCCGTGATCGTAATTGCAGTATTCCATATTGAATTTAGTGACGGTTTTTAATACACCGCGGTATCTGATGCTGCGGTTTTCAAAAACTCAAATACCATGACGAAGTTAACTATAATCATGGTTCGTCGCCATCAGTTGTTTGATAAACAAAGTTTTCTGTAAAATCGCGGTTTATCGTACAGTGGTATTTACGTAAGAAATCGCAGTTTTTGAGGTTGATAAGCATCTAAGGGTGAGTGCGAGTGTGGGTGTGAATCTTCAGTTCAACCACATCCACACCCAAACGACAAGTACAACTGCTTTTCATTTTGATATAAAAACAAAGCAATAAACAAAAATTTCGCTTTTACAGATGATTTACTTGGAGCACAATCAGCAAGGAATTGCTAATTCTAATTATTGTCAACTATGAGAAATGTCACTAAGAATCGCTATAGTAAATATACAAAGTCAGCTAATGATTTATTGCTTTCGATTCATTAATCTAAAGTAAATTTTGTATAAGTGTAACATATGCATTCGCAGACAGAAATGATTCAAAGACGAGCATGTCGAGATTTTTGTTATGAATGGGCGTATTCCACGAGCATAACATTTCAATAGTATTGAAATGAAGTCTTTAGTGAAAGAGCACTCGTATCTATGTGAATACAGGAAACATATTGAACAAATTTAAGAATACTCATCCACCCACCCCTTATAGGATCGTAACATAATGAGCAAGCAAAGCGTATCTGTAACTCATGTATAATGAATAATATGTCAATGAATTTTATATGCTTTTATTATGAAGTTCTATTAGTATTCTAGACGTTGATAAATAATTAAAGAGATAATCGAAGTGTGCACACGTTGAAATTAATATTGAAGACTTTTTTAATACTTCAATATAGACATCTGAAAAAAAACTTGCGCGTATTAGTATCGTAAAAGCTACCTTTAAACGATTGTTCAACTTTTTTCTTTAAATCTATAAGAATTACAGATATTTCTCATTAAGAACATGAATAAGTTCATTTTCTATTGTTTTAAAGATCTGTATATTCAAATCAGCTGAAAATAATTTTATCATGAACTTATCGAATGAAACAGATTCATAGATTCAATAGCGTAATTCATTAATTATACAAAGGAATTACTATGTTTCAATTTTATTTTATTTCTTGTTTTTATAATTTTTTAACGAACATAGAAATGAAACAGGAAGGTTACCATGGTCCAATCTGCAAGTTTCAATATAAAAAGAAATAGAAAATAAAATGAAATATTCTTTGTATTACTCACTTCAACACATGTCTCAAGCTTTGTTGATGTATTTGTTTTTACTGTTGCTTTACTATTTGTGGATGAGCCCTTCGGTCTATTTCTTGTTTAATTATGGATTGTTGAACATTTGTTGGCAATCCAGGAATAAGATTCAATACAAATGGTAACAATGTTTTCGGTATATCACCAAAGTCAACAATTATTTTAATAAAAATTGTATCATCTGGTATATATAGATTATCTTCTTGTTGAATTATTATCAATAGAAAGAATTTAGGTATATAACTAGCAATATTCACTTCTGAGCGTGGTCTCTGGAAACTATTCAATTGAATATCTGATCGAAAAGAGTCGATAATATGTCTTTGTTGAGATGTTTGATCATACAAACAAAATGTAACCTTATAATTAAAGAAAAATTTTAATATTGCATCATTTCGACCATGCATCAAAACAAAAAACAATGATATATGCGTACGTCGAGCGTTATCATCACCATTCAAATAAAGTCGAACTCGCATTTTGTATAGAGTTAGTGATGAATAAAATGAAGGTGAATAAATTGATGGTTGTCGTTCTGATAGAGCATCATCTAAATATCAAACAAAATCAATCGTGACGAACAAATAATTAAGAAAAAGAGGTTGTAAATTTCCATAATTCTATATCATTAATGATTCATCTACAATATTGAATGGTTTTGCATTGATGGCTCTTCTCATATGTTCAAGCCCACTCAAATTTACATAATAGTAAATGTATTGTTTATTTTATGATGTATTGATGCCACTGAAGTATGATTACACTATTGTCATATGTCACCTTGAACTACGTAAGAAAAGTCTTTCACATACTCATTGTCTCTTGAAAGTTTGTAGTTTTTCATACAAATGTTGCATATCATCAATCTTATGATTCAATGACATCAAATCTTGATTTAGGATTTCTAGGTTTCACATCACTGCTTCGTAAGACACGCATTCCGCTTCAATAGCTAATTTCACATTTGAAGCATTTTCTTTTAAATGTTGTAGTTTATTTTGATATTCAAGTAATTCAGTATTTAGACATTGTACATCTTTATTCAATGTTTCAATACTATTTGCAAACATACTAATAGCTTCTGGGAATTCATCCAATTGATTTAGAGCAAAATCATCGTCTAGTACTGTAGTTGTTCGAAGAATATCAGTATCCATTTCATTAGATGTTCGTTGAGCGTCTCCTAGCTGTGAGTTCATTTGTTGAATAACATTCAGTATTGAATCTTGATGTTATTTGCTTTGATAATGATCTTTTAATTCACAACGAAGAATCTAAACAAAACAAAGTGATAAATCGATTGAAAATCTATGTTAAAGAAGATATAAACTTGTTGATAGCAACCAAAATCCTTTAATAAACATTCGATAGAAATCTTTGAACATTGAAATGCTGTATATTGATTGAATTGATTGATTGATTGGATGGGATTATCTATCACAATAATTGCATTTTGGATTGAAATGAGATTGATCAAGGTGTTGCTTGCAAGTCAAACATAGAAAATGAAAAAATCAGGTTTATTGATTGAAATTACGTGATAATTGTTGAAGACATCAGTCCAATTACAATGAGAACAGACGATAAATAAAGATTGCATGTCATTTTTGTAACCTCGATCAGGTCTTATCTAAAAAAGTCCATATTCAATATTCTATCCGATTGAAAACAATGATATCTTACTTGATCTCGCTGTGTTTCTATGCCACATTGTGGACATTTGATTACATTGCTTAAAATGATAAGATTTGAAAAAAAGAATTATAAATAATGGGACTTACTCTTTAAGAGTGTCAAAACAAGATTGACATAGTCGATGTCCGCAAGTATTAAATTGAACTGGATCATGTAATATAAATGAACAAACAAAACAAATAAATTTCGGATAAAAAATATTCTTATTCTGAGCATCCATTCCAGTCAATAATTATAATACCTGGAACAAGAATGGATTCTTATTCTTCTTCCTTTTCATACAACAACAGATTAGATATTGTCTAAAAGGAATAAAAATAATAGTGATATTAATTGAAAAGTTCTTGTCTTCTGTATACGATTTGTAATTGTATTTATTAGTGCGAGGTTCTAAGTTGAAGATTTCTTCCTCAGACATAATATAAAACTACATGACTTACGTTTACACATAAGCACTTATAGGTTTGCTTTTGGAAATTTCCGACTTTTTTTCCTTTCTTTTCTTTGAAAGCGAGATGCAAAGACGTGAATAAGGTGTGAACGCGGATGTGAGATATGGCTGTGATCGTGTGCGGTTGTTCCTGGAGTAAATGTTACAGCCCACATACATACCCTTCTCGAAAAACTCATTTTCGTTCATGAATATAAACATGTTCGAAATTAGGTTGTCGTAACTAGAAATCAGCGGGATCGGAACTAAAAAAAGGTCACTTTGCAGTTCTCTAGTCGTAACATCTCGATAGTCGCTAAATAAGTACATATTCTTCTCACTCATAGACTCGAATCTGTATGGTGTGGGTGTGTGGGTGTGGGTGAGTATTTACCTTCTTCGATGACCAACACCCACACCCCACACCCATCCACCCACCCACACCCACACCCCACACCCACACCCCACACCCAACTCAAAGGTTGTAAAGTCTTTATAATTTCTAATATTTTGTATACTGTGTGAGCGAAAATTTTTTTTCGATTGCAGTATATATACTCAATCTTACGAACTCGATTTATAATAATATTATGTCATGTAAAACAATGTAGAAAAAATTATTCAGCATTGATATCTACTCTATATAGTTGTACTAACTAATTGTTAAAAGATTATCGAAGTATTTAAATTCAATAAAAAAAAAGGAGAACACGAATAATGATCGATTAAAAGTTTTTCCTCGTTCACTACAATCTGTATTATCGACTTTCTGGATATTATTTTTGCCCATTTCAATTACAATATAAAGTAATATTTTCTTATTCAAATTCTGATCTTGAGCTTGTTCTAGCACTTCAACATCTATAATATTACGAGATACTATCAGAAAATTTTAAAAAACCTCATGACAGAATGATATATTAACTAAATATGTACTTACATTCGCTTGAATCTTTATAATATACTTGACCTAAAAACAAAACAGAAAAATAAAAGATACATAAATTCATATTTTTAAAATGTTTTCATGCACTTACCATCATTTGCAACAATTATCCTACAAGTAACAAAAAGAATATTTTACAATTAATCGGAAAAATGTGTTTATAGAATTTGTTCGAGTTTAGAATGACGAGTCTTATCCATTCTTTGATACTTACACGAATAGTCATAATAAATATTGCAACACCACTTTGTTAGCTTTACCACTTTATAGAGAAATGACGAATATCTACATTTCGGACACCTTTTAAATTTTTGTATCTTTCTTTATCAATGCATTACCATTTACACGTAGCATATTGTTATATCAAACTATGACACCAAGAGAAATGCACAGAATGATTAAAATAAGATACTAAGAAACGAAAATATGTATATTTTCGCCAATTATTATGAAATGAAGATGCTCAAAGCAAAGATGATATTTACATTCATTAGTCTGACAATGCGTTAGACATGTACGATTATTTGGCATCATCGTTGGCGAAGTAATAAAATAGGAAATATAAGATTATCACTCAATTGATATGCCAATATTCTCTTCACTATGCTATTGTTTAAGTCATAATATGATCAACAACGTTGCATCAGAGATGTTGTATTATATAGAATATCGAGAAAGTTACTGAACAGAAACAAAACGGAATATCTCAATTGTACATAAATCTAATGAAGTGATTCGTATGTTGAGGATATATGAGAAATTTAGGTTTTTAATCATAAATATAAAGTTTGTCAACATCGCTCAAAACTGTCATTCTTGTCTTCAGTTTAAGGTATTTTTAGTTCCAAAAATAACACGATATTTTTCCGGAAATTATTTCAAGATTTCTTGTTATTGTGATTTTTGATCATTAAAACTATTCGCTATTGCTCTACAAGCTTTTTTCAATATGTTTCTAAACAAAGAAGTCAATAGTATTAATTCTAGTGACTACGTGGACCATGAAAAGGTCCTATTTGTCTTATTTCGCAAATTAAAATACTAAAACAATGAATTTTGTATATTGAAGTCGACAATAATAGCTTTGAGCAATATTGATGAACTTTGTATTATCATTCAAAACAACTTGTTGGGCTTGTATATGACGGAAATATTCTATTTTGTTCCTGTTTAGGGGCTTTAGGGAAGCTCTATGCGTCTTTAGCTGTGGAGTGTCGTTTATCTTTAACATATCTTGACGTCGAAGTATGATAGAGAGGATAATGAAGTAAAAAAGATCATATCAGATATTCAGACAACAAGTAGAAATTTGATGTGAGAACTAGTTGTAAATTAAAAAAGTACTTATATTGCTGTAAACGATGATATCTAAAAACATGTTGGCCTATTTATACCAAAATGTTAAATAGATCACTTAATCTGCCTATGGTTCGTTATTCAAACTTACACAAGTGTTTTTTTCCTGTATTTGAATTATTGTTAACAATAAAGTTAAGGAAATTCAACATTTATCCCTATAATCATAACAATAAATTACAACATACATGGCTATAAATCTGTATTTTTGAGATTAGCATTGAAAAAACTATAAAAAAGGATACATACGACTCATTCTAACTAAAACTATGGAGACTGATCTTAGTAGAATTATCGAGAGAAATGTAATTGAGACGAATTGTCTAAGACGAATACTGCGGGAGGAAAATTCAGCGGACAATGTGAGTGATTATCATATATATAACAAAAAAGTAAGAAAAAATTAAAAATATGTTTTTCTCGACGTTCAATAAGTAATTATGCTTGATTTCGAAACTCTTCAACTTTTTGAAGAACTGCGAATCAACCGTAAAGTTAGATACTGAGAAAAATAACTACTATTGGATTGCAATGAGTTTTTTATTCTTAAAATGATTACATTACATAAAAGTAATGTAGATTCCTATGGGTGTGGGTGTGGTTGAGATTGTGTTTTTTCTATGGTGTATATTTCACAATTTTAATCAATTGACCAAAACAGGAGAAGAAAAGGATTTCAAAGGTTAAGATTAATGTATTCGTTTTATTTGAATTTTATTAAAGTCTATTGTTCTCACATCCTATGAGTGAATCATGTTTGTTCTACATGTTGATTTTTTGCCAAAAAATACAGTTTTTCATAGGAAATTACCTATACAAGTACCTTATTATTTTTATCATTTTTCGAAACCTATTAAATCAACATACATTTTTTTAGGTCACAGTTACTTTTCACACTGTCGTCGGATGAGCTAGCAAATCAGAACACTAATTTGAGATCTGTTCAACAAAAGTGGTATAAATCTCGGGAAATCACCATATTCATGAAAATGAATTTATGGACTTGCTTGTTCACGAAAATACTTTCGAATAACGTTTTATGATGTCGACGCACAAGAAGTGGTCGTCACATAAATCACAGTCTGAGTAGGTGAAAAGGAATCCTCTGCCTATTCAATGAAAAATTGCGTGCTGGTTTTTTCAATTCCAGTGATGTATTATACTTGATTTTTAAATATCAGAATCATTTCGTCATTTCACGTCTAATGAAAAAGCTAATTCTGCCTAAGTTTAATTTTGCCTATGACATATATATGTAATTCACATTTCGATTACTCGTCCCACGCATCCTTGGCTTTTTAATGTATACGTGAGTTTGATTGTTTTGCCATGCACAGTAATTGAGCTGTAAAAAGAAATTTCTCATACTCTTCCATACCGTATTTTTTAATCAATTACTTAAAAACTGTAATTTTTGCCTTTGTATCTCATCGATTTTTTTTTTCACTGGCATCCGATGTTTAAAAAATGGATGAGTCAAGAAAGATTATCCCATTCGCTGCACACTGTTCGTGATATTTTAATTGAAAAGAAAGCGAAACAAAAATAAGTGGTGTTGTGATCAAATTTCATTCTTATCTAAATGATGATTGAGATGCATTGAAAGATGTTTTGTGCATACGTAGGTAGGATAAGCTATTTAACACCATAAAAGTGTTAGAAAATGTCATTTGTAATATTTTCACTGTATAAATTACAACTTTCCCTTCTTCTCTACAACAGTAGCGATCGCAATCGATACTCAAAAAGCATTAGTCTCTAGTTCGAGTCGCCGAACAATTTCAGAAAATGTATACTGTCTTATACCTTATATTGATTTTAACAACAGGTAATGTTGAGGATACGCAGAATTCTTCACAAATAGAATTGAAGAATTTTGTTTTATGTGTTCGCATTATTATCACTTTACGTAGGGCAAATCAGATTTCGACAAATAATTCTTACGGCTGTAGCAGCAACAACGGATACAGCTTCCAATGAATTAGTCAAGTCTCGAATAGAAAATGGTCGTTTCATTAATTCATTCAATTCCCAATATAAATTGCCTCATCTAGGCCTTGTTTTTATCTGGAAGATCACTTCACAGGGCAATACACGATTGCCGTCTAATAAAAAAGAACTTGATAAAATGTTACCTGTTATTCGACATAAGAAATCCGAAGAACTATATCTAACAAAACTCGGTCTACGATTTATCTGGATTGGACATGCTTCATGTTTTGTTCAAATGAACAGTTTTCGATTTCTTGTCGATCCAGTTTTCAGGTAGATACTTATTCTCTCTCTCTCTCTTCTGTTCTTTTGAAAAAATTGAATGATTTTAGTGAACGATGTGGTATCGCATCATTTATCGGACCGAAACGTTTCCGTCCACCGGCATTAATAATAAATGATTTACCCGATGATCTCGATGCTATACTTATTTCACATAATCATTTTGATCATCTCGATTATTCTAGCGTAAAAGAATTAAATAAACGTTATGGTGAACGACTAACTTGGTTCTGTGGTCGAGGTACTCGACAATGGTTTCTTGATAAACATGTAAAAAATGTTGTTGAGCTCGATTGGTGGGAAGAGTATCATTTTTCGGTAGGAAAATATTCATTCTGAAAACTTCTTTTCGCGATATATAGATATCTTTGATTTTTGTTTTAGAAAAAAAAAGTGAACATTGCATTTTGTCCAGCTCAACACTGGTAATGTTCAATGGTTTTTTTTTCTTATTAATGAGATATTTTCTACTCTAGGAGTGGTCGTACTGCATTCGATACAAACAAATCTTTATGGGGCGGTCATGCTGTCTGGGATGCTACACACAAATTTTACTTTGCCGGCGATACAGGTTATACTCATAACATTTCAATTTTTCGACAAATTGGCGAAAAATATGGCCCATTCAACTTAAGTGCTATACCGATCGGTAATTACGAACCACAATGGATAAAGCAAGCTCATCATGTGTCACCAGATGAAGCTGTTCAAATACATATTGATGTTCAATCAAAAAAATCGATTGGCATTCACTGGGGTACATGGGGATTGGGAAATGAATATTTTATGGAACCACCTGTGAAACTTTCTAAAGCAGTTAAAATCAATCAACTCGATCCGTCATCATTTATTGTAGTTAAACATGGTGAAATTTTTGATTTACCCTAGTAATACTAATTCATCATATTTAACTTTTTGTTCTTTACTGGTTGTAATGTCCAGCATTTTAATAGTGCTGGTCAAAAATTAAACTATTTAGAGTTTTGAAAAAAAAAGGCACCAACAGAGAAAGTTCGTGGCAATACTCACGAAGTGCGATTCGTTTTATAGGTAGAGAAAGAGACAGAACACTCATGCTCTTCTTCGTCTTCTTTCCCTCTCTATCTGGGTGGATGTGGGTGTGGGTGTGGTTGTTGCTCTCCTCTTTCTACCCAAAACCCACACCCACACCCACACCGACACCCACATCCACGCCCACACTCCACACCCAACCCACACCCACACCCACACACCCAAGATAGTTTCAGACCCGTTTAGACCCAAAAAAACATTTACATGGGCGGGCGTGAGTCTCAACGAGAATCTTCATTCAACAAATACCTAACATCCTCTACACATCACTGTTATTCTACGAAATTTTAAAACTTTATTTTATTAACAGCTTATGTCCTCTACAAATGGCAGCATACTTAGCTAAAATTAAATAACTTTTCATTGAAACCTTTTAGAAAAAATTTACGTTCTATATTTATTGTCAATAATCAAATTTTTAAAAGTTAGCTATAAATCTTAATCATTCTGAAAAAAAACTTAATAAAATTGTGGATCTTGAATCGGATGAATTTCAAA